TTTCGAAGTTTTATGGCTTCTGGTCTTGCATTTAGTTCTTTAATCTATTCTGAATTCATTTTTGTATATGGTGAGAAAATGTTCTAATTTCACTCTTGTACATGTAGCTGTCCAGTTTTCCCAGCACCACGTATTGAAAAGACTGCCTTTTCTCCATTGTATGTTCTTGCCTCCTTTGTTGTGTGTAGTTTTATTTCTGGGCTCTCTATTCTGTTCCACTGATGTATTTGTGTCTTTTTGTGCCAGTACTATACTGTCGTGATTGCTGTATCTTTGTAGTGTAGTCTGAAGTCAGGGAGTGTGATGCCTTCAGCTATGTTCTTTCTCAAGAATGTTTTGGCTATTTGGGGTCTTTTATATTTACATACAAATTTTAGAAGTATTCTAGTTCTGTGAAAAATGCCATTGGTATTTTGATAGGGATTGCACCGAATCTGTAGATTGCCTTGGATATTATGGTCATTTTAACAATATTAATTTTTCCAATCCATGAACATGGTATATCTTTCTGTTTGTGTCATCTTCAGTTTCCTTCACCAGTGCCTTATAGTTTTTCGAGTATAAGTCTTTTATCTCCTTGGTTAGATTTATTCCTGGTATTTTATTCTTTTGATGCAATGGTAAATGGGATTGTTTTCCTAACTTCTTTTTCTGATAGTTCATTATAAGTATATAAAAATGCAACACATTTCTGTGTATTAATTATATATCCTGCAACTTGGTTCATTGATGAGCTCTAGTGGTTTTTTTGTGGTTATCTTTAGGATTTTCCATGTCATCAGCAAACAGTGACAGTTTTACTTCTTCCTTTCCAATTTGGATTCCTTTTACTTTTCTTGTCAGATTGTTGTGGCTAGGACTTCCAATCTATGTTGAATAAAAGTGGTCAGGGTGGGCATCCTTATCTTGTTCCTGATCTTAGAGAGGAAATGCTTTCAGCTTTTTAGCCTTTTATTTAAATTTTAAAAAAAATTTTATTTCACCAAATAAAATTGAATTCAGTTTTTTTTAAAAATTATACTTTTGTACACAGCCTTGTCATGCAAGACCTGATACTTCTAACCACCATCTTCCCTCATTTCCCATTCCCCTCTAGCAATTGCTTCAAACTTTTAAAATGAGTTTTTTAGTAGTTACCTTGCTATCTCTGAATAATATGTGTATATTACCCCTTGATTTTTTATTTGTAGGTGTTATTTATTGATTTCTCATTGTGGAAAATGAAAGGTAGCATTCTCCGATCTTCCACTCTTTCAGAGTGCGTGTACACACATACACACACACACACACACACACAC